CCTAATCCTAACCCTAACCCTAACTCTATCCCTAATTCTAAATAACAAGATGTACGAAAGGGCACTCCATCGCAGTTTGAGTAGGGGCTATACGCGCGGCTGTCCAAAACGCGAGGGTTGTGCGCGGCGTGTATATAATAATATAATAATTTATGTGTACACATCGCTGTTATATAAATAAACTAAATAAATAGCGATATATATATCATTTCACTATACAATATAATGTATATATTATCCAGAGTTAATAGAAAAACATTTTTAATTCAGTTCTTGCATTTTATACTGACAATTGACAGACAACCACACACACCCACACAGTCATGGGCCGTGCCACCCGCGGCCAGCGGGACGTAGGTTAGATACGTATCCGGGACGCTATGGCATATGACAGGTGATTCCTAGGGCCGCTGAAAACTGGAGTGCACTATATTATTTTCGTTTGGGCCAGCCAATGGCATCGTCAGAGCCATAGAATGCCATCATGCGGTTTCAGGAATCGATATGATGCGGATCCACTAGGCTGTATATAGATAATTCAAGAACAGTACATCAATGGAGCCATATCTCTATTTCATCTGATAATATACTTATTATGCGTTCGTGCATAACGAGCACTCATGATGTGCTGCTGCCAATAACATGTGTTATTTGCTATTATAATTTTTGACCGTCAAATGGCTTGCTCCTTCAGCAGAGACCCACTTTATTAATCACGAGGATATTTTCATCGCGTATCCAGAGCTATCGCGCATATAACGCATGCACCCACCTTCGCACGGCAATTGTAGCCTACTATATGCCACGATGTCCACAATATGCATACCTGGTAGGCCTACCGCATGCAGTTATTCCCTGTAGAAGGCATCCAGGTGCTCTTGAAGGAGTAAACACGTATATTTACGTGTAATGAGCGCGTTTGTAGGTCAGCACGACATCCGGCGTAATGTCATTATTTTCCAGCGCCGGGCGCCGTGCGCTAAGGCTGGAATATACATAGGGGGGGACGGCAAATTCGTTTACTGACCCCTCAACTGTGTAATGATGAGCCAGACGGTGGCAGCTGCCTGATTCGAGTCGTGTGTAGTAGGGAGCTTGGGATTAAGACCATGGCCCCTTTCAGCGGTCATAAGTGACCAAAAAAGATCATCGTTAGGTTATTACGATTATTAAACTAAGCTTATTTTCGCTTTAATTTTGCTCAAAGCTCTAGGGGCCCGCGTCACGCCGCTGCGCTCCCCTTGCCCCGGGCCCCCATAAGCTACCGGCTCCCTTCCTCCGCCAGGCGCTCGCTCGCATTAGTTACCTGGATCCTGCTTCCCAGCGCTAGCGACAATGCCTTCCCAGGCGCGCCAACGGCCTCATATCTATATTTCGTTGGCCTGTGAACCTGCCGTCTCTCCGCCGCAGTGCTCCATCGCCTCCCGTGGTACCAGCTTTGTTGTGCCCGACACCGTTAATAGGCGTCTCTGCGCGCGCCGATTTGCTGTATAATCAACAATAGTAACCTGCTGTATCAACAATCTGTATCCAAGTATCAACCCATGTGTATCTTTGATTGAAGTGTCGAGTTTATCCTCTTGATACCACTTACCAATAGATAAATACAAATCTGTAAAAAAATATACAAATCACATACACAACCCTACTTACATGGAATCCTTGACACTTCCGATCCTCCGTAGTGAATCAGCGCTATAATAGCAGAATATAGAATTGTGCCGTCAAAGATGCCGCCTCGAATATACGCGTTAATATTGCGATCCCGGCTCTTCTGTTGAGCAGTTTAGTACTTATGAGTGGTATGGTGGGATGATGAGTAGCACTTAGTAGTTGATGTAGTAGGTTATTGAGCTAGTTCAATGAGTACGGTCAGAAGTAGGGTATGAGTAGACTTCATTTCGTAGTAAGTTAAATGAGTCAGGTATGACAGCCATCAGCGTACCACGTGCCACGTAGCTCCCCCCGGGTATGTGCCATGAGTAGTCTCATTCGCGCCCAGTAGTTATGTAGCAGCGTAGTCATGAGTAGGTCATTGAGATAGGTCATGAGTAGGTGATGAGTAGGTTATGCAGTGGTATAGTAAGTAGGTACTGCAGTAGTATGAGTAGGTATGAGTAGTATGATGTATGTATGCGCCTAAGTAACCGGTATGAGTAGGTTCATGAGTGGTCATATTGATAGGTATGAGTAGTGGGGCGTATGGTAGGTATGGGGTAGTGCACATGAACAGTACGGTCTGTGCGGCGTCGTATATGAGTAGGGTATGAGGCAGTCTATGAGTAGGTCCCAGATACGTATGATGAGTAGGTATATTAGTAGGTTATGGAGTAGGTGCCAGATACTCCAGGTATGGGTAGTATATGGACGTACGCGGGTATGAGTAGTTATGAGTAGGTATGAGTAGGTATGAGTAGGTATGAGTACGCCGTAATTGGCACGGTCGGGTATAGTGAGTACTGCGCGGTCATCGGCCGCTAGTTGCATGAGTAGGGTCGATGAGTAGGCATGATAGGTGGATGAATAGGATATGAATAGCGGTCGCGTGAGTGACGGTCATGAGTCGGCTATATGGAGTTAGGTATGAGGTATATGAGTAGTATGAGTAGTGTATGAGTAATGAGTAGGTATGCGAGTAGGCGTATGAGTTAGGTTGAGTGAGTAGAGTATGATAGCGCGTTGAGTAGTATGGAGTAGTTATGAGTAGGTATGAGTAGGTATGAGTAGGGTATGATAATGCGTGGTATATGAGTAGGTATGAGTAGGTAGGAGTGGATATGAGTCATGAGTGGTATATGAGTAGTTATGAGTAGGTATGAGTAGGTATGAGTAGTTATGAGTGGTATATGAGTAGGTATGAGTAGTAGTATGGTATTATGAGTGAGGGATGTACGGGTTATGGTAGGTATGAGTAGTTATGAGTAGGTATGAGTAGGTATGAGTAGGTATGAGTAGTTATGAGTAGGTATGAGTAGTTATGAGTAGGTAGCACGCGCGTGAGTATGGGTGCATGAAGCAATACATTTACCAACGTTCCGATTATTGTTAATATTATTTCCTCATTTCCTTTTTTCATAGGTCCATTTAAGGGTATATATAATTATCTTGTTGTTTGCTAGCGCAAGGGAGAAAAGAAACCCAAATCCAAATACCAGTTGTTATATCGAAATAGGAAATATCACGATCGATCGATCTATACCCTCTCAGGGGCGGATTCAGACCGTATTTGCCGTATTGGGAAATACGGTCTAGATTTCAAAGTGCCTTTCGAAATTTTGCGCTCACTGTGGGGTGGTGTGCCCTTTTTGGGCGATGTGCCATTTAAATCTGGAAAAATACTGTCTAGCCTCAGCCCTGGAACCGGCCCTGGGTGTCACCATAGTGTCACGTAGTCCAGTAGCAGTGCACACGGAGCCCACTCGGCCGCGGGCAAAATATATATATCACCTCAAAATGAAAATTGATAACACCTCACGCTCAACTTTAGTTGGCATTCAAGAAGCGTGCGTGGGGTGCATCCTTCCGATAAGAAGTGGGTGCAGGGGCGGATTCAGACCGTATTTGCCGTATTGGGAAATACGGTCTAGATTTCAGTGCCCTTCGAAATTTACAGAAAATACAAAAAATACAGAAAACAATTTGATGGAATTTGGCTATATTCTTTATTTTTTATTTTTTGTTCTGATTCATTGACAGGACTTAAAGGAAATCAAAATTTTACATGGTAACAAAACTTGCTTTTATATCTGAAAAAGAAGGGAATTAAGTGCTTGAATCATTCTGCATTAATTGCTGGTATGGTATGCAAAGCGCAGGCAAAATGAAGCAGAAATAAAATTCCATATGGTTTTTAGCTATTGCTGCTTGACTAAATGTGTGCTCAAATGGTGCTCATTTTTGTGCCCAGGGACCCTTGAAATTTTGAAATTTCCTGGGGGAGGCCCCCCAGACTCCCTGCCATGTGCTTCGCGTCTAGCGGCGCTCACTGTGGGGTGGTGTGTCCTTTTTGGGGGATGTGCCCTTAAAATCTGGAAAAATACATTACTGTCTAGCCTCAGCCCTGGATCCGCCTCTGCCTCTTATGTGTCTGCGCGTAGATATGTGATTTTTGTGACAGAAATATGTCCCAAGCACCATGTAGGTACTATATAGCACTTTTAGTTTCACATGCGATCTAGCTCATATATGGCTGAGTGAGTCCACTCAGTATCACATTTGTTACCCACTTTTGCACACTTGTAAATAGGGTAGGCCTATATTTTTTAGAAGAAACCCCTTTGACCACTCAGTAATTTGAACGGGGTTTCTTCTCAAACTGTTTGTAGTTCGTTAATATGTTTTAGCATATATGTGTGTATTGCATTCTGGAACCATTGAAATAATATTTTTAAATTTATTGAATTTATCATTTCTTTCACTTTCTATTGCGAGCAGATATATTAACTTCGATATATGTTGAGTTTGTAGTGAAACGCACCGTTTCACGTCTTAATTAGGACTCTTGGCGTACGGTCTGCGCCACACATTCTGTATAGCTATTCACTGTAACCTCCGGACGGAGAGGAGAGTAAATGACGCGACTCTTTAAATAATAAAATGTGTAGAGAAGCGATGCGAATCAGAGCTTGTCGTAATGAGGGGGCCATCACGACACAGTTTGGAAAACCGCTCGCCGCGTTATAGCAATACATGTAATTACGCCTCATAGCTGCGGCTTTTCCTTTCCGTTGTCACGATGTCGATAACAAACATGACTGCGCTGACCGCAGCTATAATGACACACCACCATGGTGATATGTTAGTGGCGATCCACTTGGTCAAGCAAACATGCGTGCAATATATTCCGTCGCGCGGAAAGTGTGCTTACCTTTCATTTTAAGAACTCGGTCAGCCGTTGTTCCGGATTCGTTTAATATAAAAACGGCTGCAATTATATGTACCTACGAACAATACACGGTGCAGCTCGGAGTCAACGTTTGTCACAAAACGAGCAGATCTCTGTCGCAATCGCAGGAAAGGACACATTTACTACAGTAAGTTAATTTAACAATTCATAATTTAACTTATTGTAGGCCCTAATTAGCAATTCAATCTGTAATAGTTAGATATAAGTAATTTTTCTTACTAAAAATGAAAACATTCTTGCATAACAAAGCTCTTAGTAAGTTTTATTGGCGATTTTTTTTCTTTTCATCAGAAACACGCATTTTCTTTTAGAAATGTGTGAATCTCATTCTGCGATAGTTGCTGGTGTCCTACTGATAGCCGGGGTAAGCTACGAATACTTGTGTACATTCATTCTATATGACTGAGTTATATTTGCAATAGTTGCATCTGTTGTACGAGTTCTAATGTTATGATATGACGTATCAGAATTCTTCTTCCGCATGTAATTAACAGAACAATAGCATATACGTTATTTTTTATATATATATTCATACCTAATGTATTTTCATAATTCATGCACCCTCGAGTTCCATTGCAGCTAACTATTGCATCCGTTAGGAGGTGTATACTGCTGCTATTCTGTAAATATCTCATTACAATTTCATATACGCCTTGTAATGCACGGTGATAATTTAAAATGATATTTGACGAGTAATGAAATATACTACATGCGCGTTGGTATACCGTTTGCTCATTTTATATGACTCGTATGATATGGTCACCATTTTGTTAACTAATTTGTTTCACTAATTTGTTTTTACGAATATTCATATTTCAACAGTGTTTAGGAATCCCGACACAAGGCAGCAACGATATTACTACTAAGACTGTAGCAGGAGTTGCCACAGCTACCCAACCCCGAAATCGCGACGTTACAGATGTAGTCATACGCGTCTCCGACAGCTTCAGGCCTGACGCAGTCGGCGGTGACGGGCGCGGTACCGTCGGTGGTTATGGCAGCAGTCAGGTTGCTGGTGTTGCTGGTTTTGGCAGCGGTAATGTTGGCGGTATCGGCAGCGGTAATGTTGGCGGTTTTGGCAGCGGTAATTTTGGCGGTATTGGCAGCGGTAATGTTGGTAGTGTCGGTGGATACGGCAGCGGTAATGTTGGAGGTTTCGGCAGCAGTAATTTTGGCGGTATTGGCAGCGGTAATGTTGGTAGTGTCGGTGGATACGGCAGCGGTAGTACTAGTGTTGGCGGCTACGGCGGCGGCAATCTTGGTAGTGTCGGTGGATACGGCAGCGGTAATGTTGGCGGTTTCGGCAGCGGTAATTTTGGCGGTATTGCCAGCGGTAATGTTGGTAATGTTGGCGCTTACGGCAGCGGTAATACTGGCATCTACGGCATCGGTAATGTTGGTAGTGTCAGTGGATATGGCAGCGGTAATGTTGGCGGTTTCGGCAGCGGTAATTTTGGTGGTGTCGGTGGATACGGCAGCGGCAATAGTGGCGCTTCCGGCAGCGGTAATGTTGGCAGCTATGGCAGCGGTAATGTTGGTGGCTACGGCAGCGGTAATGTTGGCAATTCCGGCAGCGGTAATGCTGGCAGCTACGGCAGCGGTAATGTTGGCAATTCCGGCAGCGGTAATGCTGGCAGCTACGGCAGCGGTAATGTCGGCGGTTACGGCAGCGGTAATGCTGGCAGCTACGGTCGGCAGCGGTAATGCTGGCAGCTACGGTAGCGGTAATGTTGGCAATTCCGGCAGCGGTAATGCTGGCAGCTACGGTAGCGGTAATGTCGGCGGTTACGGCAGCGGTAATGTTGGCGATTCCGGCAGCGGAAATGTTGGTGGCTACGGCAGCGGTAATGTTGGCAATTCCGGCAGCGGTAATGCTGGCAGCTACGGTAGCGGTAATGTCGGCGGTTACGGCAGTGGTAATGTTGCGGAGTACGGACGTGGTAACGTTGGAATCAACAACTACAGGACGCCGTTGCCGAACGTTATTGGTGGAAGTCAAGGCTCTATCGGTCGAGGCGCGTATCCAGCTAATGCATTTGTTGGTATCAACTATATTCCCCAACACAATGCAAACAAACTCCGTACAGACAATCACGTTAGAAGAGTGCAAGATAGTAAACATAGAAAACAGGCGAAGAACCTTTATATTGACAATGGCCAGTATAATGGTAACAGCCTCGGCCGGACTTATGACACGAACTACAAAAACACTGGTGACAATACCAAGTACCAGAGGCAGTACGATTCGGACTTCCTTGGAAAACATAAGAATAACAACTACGTTAAAGGAAAAGCGTGGGGTAAGTTAGCTCAAATGTGTGATGTGCCGTTTTCACCTTTCGCGGGCGCTCTTTTATTATGATTTAGATGCGGATCCAAGATTTTGAACGCGTTGGTGACTATCGCGAGCGCCCTCCGGGCAAGGTATGGGGACTCTCTCCCAGAGAATTTCCATAATGCATTTACAGCCTTCTCAGAGTAGCAAATCAATTGTCAAGAAATCACTCCGCCTTCTCCTCAGGGTGTTTGTGGGCAGGTCGTTAAAAGGCAATATATAACTAACATAACATCCGTAGCATAATTTACTGCTAATACACATCTTCTTATGTTATAGAATGAACGCATAGTCTCTACTCTCATGTATCAAATTCTAGGAACAGCGTTTAGGTCAAAGAATATTAGGATTAAATTTGAGTTAACGCCGAGCAAGCAAAATATATGCGCACGTGACACCCGCATGTTCGTGCGCATTTGTGTGCGAGCGCGCGGGTATCTCTCTCCCTCTGTGCGTGCGCGCGCGTGCATATGTGTATGCAGGCGCGCCGGAAGCAGTTTTGGATTGGGGGGGGGCAAAGACCTAAGGGGGTTCACGATTTATTTTATCGTGTGTGCGTGAGTGCGTGTGCGCGACGTGTGTGCGTGTGCGCGACGTGTGCTTGAGCGCGTGTGTGCGTGAGCGCGTGTGTGCGTGAGCGCGTGTGTGCGTGAGCGCGTGTATGCGACGTGTGTGCGTGAGCGCGTGTGTGCGACATGTGTGCGTGTGCGACGTGTGTGCGACTTGTGTGCGTGTGTGCGACGTGTGTGCGTGAGCGCGTGTGTGCGTGAGCGCGTGTGTGCGTGAGCGCGTGTGTGCGACGTGTGTGCGTGAGCGCG